TGAGTGTGTCTGTCTCTGTATTTGTATGTGTCTGTTTGTGTTCGCTTATGCACGAAACCCGAAGTGATGGGTTAAATTAATTAGGACAGCAAAAAGCAACGTCTGTTTTTGGCCATCAAGGTTTGATGACCCCTATCTCCCTCTTTCTAAATTTAAGTTATAATCATCACTCTGATTGCCCAAGGTCGGAACCTCGTCTGGTTTTGCTGATAAGGAGGCGAGGCAACTAGTCTTTTCTTGTTTTGGTTCTGATGATAGTCAATTCTCTGTACTTTTAGCTCACTTTTTATCTCTCGCATTAAGACCAAAAACAAAAAAAAGACTCATCAACAAAACCAGACGAGTGTCGGACCTTGCGTAATCGGAGTGATGGTTATAACATGTCTGTAGAAAGGGGTAGATAGGTTCATCAAACCTTGATAGCCAAAAACAGACGTTCCTTTTTGCTGTCCTAATTACTCTGAAACATCACTTCGGGTCTCGTGCATAAGCGAACAGGAACAGGCACATACAAATACAGAGACAGACACACACACATGCATCGAAGTCGACATATGACCTTAACTAACCAAGTCACTTTATACTTGATCAAAGAGGCCAGATGTAGAATGTATATACCACTTTTTAGGGATTTGCCGGTGAGTTTTCTTGGCTCGTTAGCTTGAATTTTGCTGTGACGATGATTACTTGCTCTGATGATGTCCGTCATATGACGGACGAAAGCTTAGCAGCTTTTCACCAAAATCGAACCAGATCAACCTCGGAAACAGCGTCAGCATTAATGTTCCAGTAGAGCCAATCGACAACTGGTCCGGGGAATCCGCCATCATCTTCTGGTGGAACCGAACTTCGGATCTCTTCACCCAACACTTTCACTCGAAATGAAAGCAAACTCAACAATTATGAAAACCCAACTTTTCTTCGCATATATAAGTTGTGTTACCTCTATTTCGTTAAATAATACTTGATAAATGACTGGTAGCCCAATTTTCCCACAATGATACGAGTAGAGCTGACGCTTTCAAATCAATTTCACATAGTCCTGCTTTCCCAAAAGGTGTTCTCATCCAATGTTGTCTGCAGTTTCGACCTCGCCTCGATCTTATCAACACGCCCAGCGGGAGTCGAATCATGATAGTGCAACGTGTAAGCTCAACACGATAACGAATACGCCACATTGCCACGTGTGTCATTGGGTCAAAGGGCAGATAAGAATTTTAAGGCATTGTTGGGATTGTTTGTCCTCGTGGCAACGGTCATGGTTCGACTCCCACCTGGAGTGTTGATAAGACCTATGCGAGATGGAAACTGCAGTTTGAATGAGGGCACCCTTTTGTAAAGCAAAGGCTGTGAAATTCAATGAAAAAAGTCGGCTCAGCTACCAATCCTTCATTAACTTAAACGAAATAGAGTGGGCAAAACTCATATATCTGATTTAATTGTAGTCTCAAAAACTACTAATTTACGAAAAAATAAGCAATTTAGTCGATTACTATAGCAAATAAAACTTTGCTTCATCGATAATCCCACCACAGAATGTGGTATGAAGAAATACCTGGCTTTACTTTAAGTTCACATCTGCCCTGAGACCCAAGGACATTCGTGGCAATATGGTTTTATTGGTTAACGAGTCGAGAACCATATTCATGGTTGGAGTTCCGCTGGGGGTGAAAGTGAACACCTCATTAATATAAAGATGAGTGGCAAAGCACAAGCAAACCTCGCAAATGAGTGGTCAACAAATGAAGGAGCCTAATGACAATGAATTGGAGAAGTAGCGGGTCTTACGTCTCTCTGTCAGGCCGACATGCAAGCGGTGCTGGTCCATAAAGAAACCAAAACGTCGACCTTTAAATGTGGTCGCAAAGCCAATGCAGAGTTACGATGAAAGGTAATTTCAAGAATAGATGTTGACCCATTTGTGTGATAGAAAATATCCATGTCAGGCGAGAATGGTCTTGCTCTCTCGCCTGTCAGTGTCGGGAATCTGCCGTTAATCGTCTACCTTAACAAGAGTCAAAAGACGAGAGTGAAATGGCTTACCTGAATGAAGGCCAGCAGTAGTAGGAGATCTGAGAGGCGCGGCCATGGCTTCGGGACAGAAGGTCAACTGGCTAACGGGCCTGAGGCAGGCCGAATGGCGAGACTGACGAGCAGCCTGGAAAGAGGATGTCTGTGCAGAAGACCAGGGTTGGGCATTCCCCATGTCCTGTTTTGGGGAGAGGTGAAGAAACACACAGAACCTGGTAGATGCAGTTGTCTAAAATAGCTGATTAGCATTTATTAAATTCAGAAAAAAGTAGACCAGCAAAGGTTATGCACATATGCCTCTGAGCTTCCGCAAAAAGCTGTTCCAAGATGTATCAGAATAAGGCCCAAAAAATGTCAGCCAGATGCTGTGATGCAAACACAGAGTTGTGACAAAGGAATTATTCTTCTAAATAAAGAAACTTTCTTATTGGCATTACTAAGAAAAAAGATTAATAAGACAGAAAATTTTTTTTATTACTTCGCAAAAGATGGAAAATATTAAATGAAATATGGGAAAAAATCAATTGGATTGTATGAATAGATTGAACGGGAAGAAAAATGTATTCCCTGTTTAGCAACGTAAAAATGTAAACGGTTGCAATTGGATTTATTCACATAATGTGATTGAGTAATATTTTTTAAATATTCGGCAATTATAGCAAAATATAAGATAAAAACCCAAATTATTCCTGAATTTATAATGTTACTCGCAGTAAAGAGGCTTTCACATTAATGTCAATACGAAAAAGGCAAAATAAGATTAAAAAAATGTTTAAATTACGCTGAAAAATAAGAGCATATTTATTTGATAAAAT